AAATGCTTCAAACAACAATTTTAAAATTCCAAAATTGCTTTCATGTAAGACCAAAAACATTAATTTTAAATGTTATAAAATTAGTTAGGAAACCTAGCCCAAAACAGCGACAAAGTCTCCTTAAAAAAAAATAATAAATTTAAAGCCCCAAAAACTGCAGTGAAACTAGTCTGAACCAGTTCTAAAATGACCCTTAAACATCACTTGTGTAGCTCCATAGGAACCCAAACAGCAATTTGAAAGATCAAACAACATTTTATGGCCTGCCACAAACTCAAACAACAATTTGAAAGCTCAAATAACACTTTTATGGCCTGCCACAAACCCAAACAGCAATTTGAAAGACCAAACAGCACTTTTATGGCCTGCCACAAACCCAAACAGCAATTTGAAAGAGCAAACAGCACTTTTATGGCCTGCCACAAACCCAAACAGCAATTTGAAAGAGCAAACAGCACTTTTATGGCCTGCCACAAACCCAAACAGCAATTTGAAAGAGCAAACAGCATTTCTAAGTGTTTTCCAACACCTTGCGGCACCCCTAAAGCCAACAAACAGCACTTCTAAGTCACTTACAGCAGCTAACGACCATCTTTAGTAGCTAAACAACTACTTACAACATTCAAAATCTCAATTTCAGCACCCAAATATTAATTCCAAGCCACATATAGCTCTCAATGACTCCTAACAATATTTAATTACCACTAAACAACACTTTTAAAGGAAAGAAAATGATCACATGCATACCACTTAATCCTCATGAATTTACATATCCATTTCCAAAACAACAAGAACAACTTATCTAAGCATCAACATGTGTAAAAAAAATTAAAACAAAATTAAAACTAAAATGGTAATGTTTGTTTTGTGTTATGAAGAATTTGAGTGGTATGGGGATAAACATTGAAGTTTGAATGTTAGATATGTAAACAAATAGGAGATAAATGGCATAAATGTAAAAAAATGAAACCAATATGATAGACATGCCAGCACATAGCAATTTAGCGACATATATGTAAAACAAAGCTTAGGCATTAGGTATACAAGTACATATGATTGACATATAAATTGATTCCAAGAATTGGGAGCTGGATATGTAAATACATGTAAATTGCGTAGTATGTATGTAATTCCTCTTATCGAAATAATCGATTCAGACAAGCAAACTCATTTAATAACATAATGATCTTCATAATTTCGCTCCAAAGCTAGACTAATCCATGTGAAGTATGCGGAGAAATAACCGTTATAACAAAAGTTTGAGAACAGTAGTAATAGCATGTAATAAGCTCAGAAAATTTCAATTGTTAGAATCAAATACTTCGATAAAAATTTGTGGTGAACTGAAAGAAATAATCGAGGTGGAAGGTAAGATC